GAACAATTATTAAACTTTCGCCATCAGAACAGTGGATTTCTCCAGATTGGTCCCACAGCTACACAGGTTTAATATGATATCAAATGTTTATTACTTTTCTTTAAGATATACTGTAACTCTGAACCATCATCTCAAAAAGGTTGGTAGATAACATTTCCAGGTGTTCTTGTATACAAATGTTGTTTTTGTTCTAATGTTACCTTTGTTTGGCCTCCTCTCCCTGTTGCTGATTATTTGAGGCATCCTGAAAGAACAGATTAGAGCACCATTACATAAACGTTATATTTGTTTGTAATCTCTTAAATGTAATCATCACTTATATTTCTAGCCACTGATATGTGTAAGATATGTGCTGGGTTGGATATATTTTTATTTGAAAAAAAGAGAAAGCACTGCCTTGCGGGGAAAGCTAAACAATTGCAAGAATATAATGGTTTTGTAAAAAGTACAAGTATAAATTAATAACATTCTTACAAGGTCATACCTTCTTCAACTAATGTTTCATTTTGTTACGTGGATAGTAAAAAAAAGAACCTCATGTTAATGAAGCTGGCCTGACTTCATACTTAACATTATTCTAACAGACAATTTATGAGAATACTTCACCCCATCTAAGCTTTACCCTGTATTTGTGAAATGGAACAGAAATACATTTAAATAGGTTAAATTGTTCATAAGTCATTGTTTAATTTTGCTCAGCTAACACTGTCATTGTCATTTGGTGCAGAGCTAGCAGTGCAAGTAATGGGACATTGGTTATTATTATTGTGATTTATCCAACTAAATACTGAGTTAATTACATTTCATGTAGATGCACATGGCTATCTTAGGAGGGCTGCATCTATTCCCCTTACAGATGGTTAAATCATTTGAGTTTCGGTGACTGGTTTAGCCACACTAGCTAGCAGCATAATGAAGCTCTCTTCAGCATCTCCTTATAAGGCGGCCGTAAACACGCTTCTGCTCATGTTTTGTCCTTACCCCTTGCTTTGCCTGTAGTTCCGACATTCGTTGACGCCTAATTGCTTCTAATTCTTCGTCTGCCATGGTTAGGAATAGTGATGTGGACCCACAACAGTGAAAAAGAAAGCGGTAACGTAATTAAATGTGCCCAAATTCTCCTCTGAGGCAAGGCCCTACCCAGTCCAGGGGAGTGTAGTCAATTTCGGAAAAAACGATCCAAGACTAAAGCAATCGAAAACAGAGTAATGATCACACAAGAAAAACAAGTTGTTAGTTTATGGTGTACTACGTAGGCTACTACTCTAATACTTAATAATTACAGCACAGCATAGGCGTCATTTGCGTCATTTGCATTTAATAAATACACCCGCCAGCCAACGCGAATCCTCGTTTCTAATTTTCCAATAATGTGAATACAATTTTAAACCATTACATCTTGTAGCAATCAAGTCCGTGTAGCTTTGTTTCAATTGTTGTCTTTCTTTAACTAGTAAGCAGACTGCAATCCAATATTTGTCATATTAAAAGTCAAGTTCTACCAAAATCACTTCACACATGTCCTAACGATTCCCTGGAAAGGATTTTTGTATTGAATGCATTTGTTTTATTTTTTGCGAATATTCTTTAAGAAACGTTTTATTTGTTTAATTATGTACTTTGGCCAGAAACATCATTTTTTAAATCTCTGGGTTCGAAAAGTTCGAACCCACGGTCTCATCTAGATATGGACTGAAGCTTTAACCACTGATACAGCTATACAGCAACCTGTGCAGGCAGGATTGATTTGAAGTGACTCAATCACATTACCTTTTTTTCATTATTATTATTTTTTCATTATTTAATTATTTATTACATTTTGATTTGCTTTATATTATTATTATTATTATTATTATGATTATTATTATAATATGTATTTAATATTATTATTATTATTTTATTTTAAAATTTGAAATATTTTGTTATATTATTATTATTTAAAAAAATTATAAAATTCACCCACACACGCATGCCATCTTGTCTCCCACCACACTTCACTTTGCCATGCTAGGAAGCGAACCACCGACCCTGTGGTTGTTAGGCATCCATCCACTAAAACTTAAAAAAAAACTTTAAAATAAAGTCCTCGCCGACAGGGGGGCAGTCCCCCGGAGGTGTTGGGGACCTACTCTATATACGCTGTACTCTGTACTCTCTGTACACTCAGATATATTATTTATTGTATCATAGCCTGATTTTATTAAACATTTGTCAAGCTGTTGAGGATGGGAATAGCCTAAATTGTCACATGTCTTCACAGGGCGTGTTCATGGTCCTTTTTAAGAGAACAGTGCACTGTCAATGATTTGATGGTATTTATACAAAATTAGTATTGGAATCAGTTTCATTTAGACTCAACCTGTAAGACAGGTCTCAGTGGGTCACGCGCCTTAACCCTGCATTACAATAGGCAGGAACACTCTGCTGTCGCCCACCAGCTGAAGAGAGTTAACTAATTAGAGGGGCGTGCCCCCACAGCTGTGAGAACTCAGCAATCAGGTGTCCATCTTAGGTGGCTCTTTCCTGGAGCGTCAGCCAGACGAAGACTGACAAAGACATTGGAGTCACGAGGGAGGCAAAGAGGAGGCAAAGAGGAGGCAAATCCTACTTTGATTGAGCTAAGTATCGCTGGTGTTTTCTTTTGTTTTATTCAATTCTCTTTGGTTTTCTAGCCCCTCATGCTATAATCATGTGTATTTTCTCCATTCCTGTTCATGTGTCCTCTCGCAATTATCACTGGCCCCGTGTATCTCCTAATCGGTATAACCGGCCTGTTCTTGTCTATCCCACATGCTCCACCGAGATCCAACATCTCGTTTCAGGGGGCCTGTGGAACTGCCAGTCAGCTGTTCCTAAGGCTGACTTCATCTCTGGCTACGCTTCCCTGCAGTCTCTGGATTTCCTTGCTCTCACGGAGACCTGGATTACTCCATCCAACACATCCACCCCAGCAGCTCTCTCCACAGCATATTCCTTCTCCCATACACCCAGACCCTCTGGCAGAGGAGGTGGCACTGGTCTCCTGCTCTCTCCCAACTGGAGCTTTTCCCTCTTCAAGCTACCTAACTAATTCCAGGCTTAGTCCTCCTTCCCTCCCGACTCTCGTGGCTACTCCGTTTCCATCTCCCCTCTCCCTTGCCTCCAACGCCGCCGTCGTCTACGTCTGTAATCTTCTCCTAAGTCCAAACAATTACAAACCCTTTCCCCATCTCTCTTACTTTACTTTCTTCACTAGCTACACACTTCGCCCAACATTGTCTCTCCCAATCTTCAGATCACGTCACAAGGAACTCTTATACTCTAGTTCCTGTCACGGTCGCAAATACTCAACCACCCCTACCTCTGTCCCTCTTCCGTTTCCACCAATTTTCTCTACAATCAAAGTCTATAGAAGGGACAGACCTCCAGACTTCAGAGCGCTCTTTCATGTCGCAGCTCCCGCGTCAAAGTCCCTACCATTCTCCTCTAATAGATTAAGGAGGTTCTTCAGGGGGTTCCGCGGACCACCTCGCCCATCTCTTGGTTGTTACCAATTAACACATTACCCAATGACACTGGCCCGTACCTTAAGCTTTCCGACG